AAAAAGAAAAGAAAAAAGGAAAGGAAAAAAAAGGGAAAGAAAAAAAGGAAGGGAAAAAAAGAAAAAGAGAAAAAAACGGACAGGAAAAAAATATTAAATATTATAAATTAGAAGGAGAGAGGCAGGCCCTGGGCACCTACGTAAGTAAGCGAGCGGACGATTGATTGATTGAGTAATTAATTAATTAGTTCATACATACATGTGTACATACATATATACAGTAGCGGTCGGAGAAAGAGAGTGAGGATGAGGGTGAGAATGGCTAGTGGTTCTGGAAAGAAGATTCTTCTCTCTCTCTCGCTTTTCAAAACCATCCTCCAAGCACAGCCCCCCCCGCCTACCAAAAAAGGAAAAATATACATATATATATATATTAGATGTAGCAAAAACATTCCAATCTTAGAGGATATAAGCTAGCAGCTGCTGCGTCACATTCATTCATCCATCCATCGTTGCAAAAACGGACAGGACAGGACAGGACAACTCAACTCAACTCAAAACCTGAGCCTTAGTTACCCCCAACCCTACCCAACCCTACCCTACGCTACCCAACCCTACCCCAAAAACCAAGGTTGAAAGAAAAGAAATCCAAAAGATCACACACACACACACACACACACACACACAAACCACCTCCCTCCTCCTCCTCTTTTTGCAACGCAACGCAACGCAACGCCTGACCTAGCCCAGTCTGATAGCTCTAGCTAGCTACCTGCGTTCCTCACCATCACCCCACCACCAACCATCAACCACCCCCCGACGCCTACTCCCCCCTACCTTGCCAAAGTTTCCGGGCCTCGTTCACCGTCAGTCAGATCAAATCAACGACAGCTTTGCCTCTATTTCTCTAAGAGCGCCGGAATGAATGGTCCGTCACGTCAGCCTGGCTAGGCTAGGCTAGGCCAACCTTCCACGAGGTCTCTCTCTGCCTCTGGAAACCTTTCTATGCCCTTTGGCTTGTCCACGTGGCTGGCTGACAAAAAAGGAAAGGTGATTTGCGTGTCCATGGCATCACATGAGCGAGCCCGTGACTTGAGATATGCGTGGTTATACATTTCGCGAACTACATAATCCCCACCTGCTCAGTGGGAAGAGTGTGACGCAAACGACCTTTCGCTCGCAACTCCAATCCTTGCCGAATCGATTTATTTTCCGTATCGTACATACAGCACACCTCCCACCTTCCCGCCCGCGCGAACTCTCTAGCGGTTCTTTTCTGTTCCAAAACGCCGGCGCTCCGCGAAAATGGAAACGACCTTCGCTATGCTGCACATGCAGTTAAAACTCCTTACATAAATGAAATATCGACACATTTCGTCATCACCCGCCGAGTGGCACGAGAGCCGTTCATGAGCCGCTCTTGATTGTGGCACTCCGTGACGCGTTTTTCTCTCTCAAGAAAAGAAGTACTGGCTGTCCATCAATCTGAATACATCGAATTCTCCCTAGATCACGCAGTAAGTATATCATAGTCAGAACTGTGAGAATTGGATTACGAACCTTCTGAGGAACTGGGGGGAAAGTCAGTGGGAGCCAGATCTGAGTACTTTTAGGTACGCGTGAGGCGACTTTCGTCAACCGTTTCTCGAAACTTGTCTTCTTGGAAATGGTGGCATCGTCCATCGCGGCTGGCTCATCGGCTTCAGGGTCTCTGAGAAGGCCTTCTTCATCGATGACCTTGCTCGAAGCCTCGGCGCTGCCCATGTTCTCCCCAACGATATTTTCTTCGGCGTCGGAACTTTCGTCCTCCGCTGCATTTAAGCGAGCTTGGCGTGTTGAGATATCCCCGAGACCGGCTGCTCCGAGGTCGTCGTCGGTGATGAGATCTTGCTCAGCTGAGTGCTGCAGGAAGATGCTGGTGGGCGTCACCATCTCTTTCCCTTTCTCGACTTCCAATGGATCATCGGAAGCAAGAAGTCGCATTCGCTTGCGTTCCAATCGAAGCTCGTCTAAGAAAGGGGCCCTGGTCGTCTTCGGTAATCTTCTTTTGCGCCCAACATCTCGGTCTTTATTGCTTCGCCAGAGTGAAATTTCCCGGTAAGCCGCTGTATTTACTTTGAGATTGGCGACGCGCATTGCGCCTTGGTAGCGCGCTATGAATTCGTCTCGGAGACGGCCGACAACATCTTCGCTATGAATTTTGATGAAGCATTCCCTCAGCGCCGTGTTCATCTTGTCAACATCACTGGCATGTGTCCAGAAAGAATCGTGAACAGCGGCAAATGACAGGCCATGCTTGTCGCATTCCAAAGCAGAAAGAAGCATGTGAGTTGCATCCAATGAGTGGATGAAATTAGGCGGGAATCCTTGAAGTTGCTTTCGCTTGTTGACAGGATCTGAGCGATGTGGTTCCGACAAGTTGATCTTCTGCATATTTGTGACGATGATCCTGGATTTGGAGGATCGGTATGGTTGAACCACTGGCATGTGCAAAGGAGTCGTCCAGATAACGCTAGATTTGAATTGGGTCAACGACTCGAGCGTAGCGGGCGTATACCTTGCTCCAGTGGTCTTTGTGACTGGACCTTTTCCTGCCTTTTCTGATACAAGTCTCGGCCACTCGGAATCCAGACGGGTAAGTTGCTCAGCCGTCAGACATGTTGAGATTCTGCTAGCACACTCTCCGAGCCAAAATTGGATATCGTGAGCTCCTTTGAACATTGTGGACAATGCTGAGAAGATTTTCGTTGCAACATACGCTGCAAGTGAGTTCGGGTTGATGACCTCATTATTCGGCAGGCCAGGGAAGGCGGCGACAAGTTGACGTCTGACCTGAGCTTTTGCTCCAATGTAAGTGACTCCGTAGACATTGGTCATAACCGTCTGCTTTACCACCTTCCTTGTGACTTTACCCTCAAGAATCTTTGCCTTCTGATTTCCGTTTGCGAGATCCTCCGCGATACTTTCCTTCACAAGATCCGCTACTGCGGTGTACACATCCGCTGGACGATCAGCTGGTTCCAAGTTCACCTGCTTGGCACCCCAAGTATCTCCGCCCAACGCGGCGTAATGCTGTAGTCCATTGCACGTACCGTCTTGGTGTACTGGGAGGTGGGAAACGAAACGTGTTGGATCGGGCGATTCCATAGCATTTTTGAGCTCCATGCAAGCAGCCAGAAATTGCCATGGATCTTCTGCGTTGAGCCACCACCTCGTACCTCCAAGAGGATTTTTTGCCGCTTCAAACATCTGATCCATGTGCTTCATCGCAAATGCTTCACGCTCAGACAAGCTGGCCTTGTCGAAACCAAAAACGTTTGCAGCGTGTATCTTGAGCCATCTTAGACCGCTTTCTCCCAGTTCCCTTCCCTTGCCAAAAATCAGAAGCCCTCTGCAGTGATCTGCGCCCATGTGATTGAGGTAGGGCGGGATTGGGTATGCGCGTCCGCGGAAGTCAACGTTGTGAGGAAAGTAGAACTCTTCATGCTTTAACGCGCGAGCAATTTCGAGCTGGAAATTCTGGAAGCAGCGCTGAGAGTGCAGACCGCTTCGGTGATTCTCGACGTTCTTGACCGCTCGTATCCATTGACGTCGTTCTAGAGGATCCTGTGAAGCCTCTGGCTCAGGAGGTGCTTTTAAGTTCGGGGTTTCCGGGGGGATATTGGCAATAGCATCCCCAGCGTTCCATGCTTCTAGCATGACATCGAAGACCTGTTGATTAATCCTCCATGATGTTTTGCCGAGGACATTCAGTCCTTTGAAAGTCAAGGTCATATCCCCCTGTCCGATAGCAGCTTCAGCATAGTACCGCTGGTCCTTATCTCCAGTCTTGACTCTCATTATCTTGGAAGGATGGGCCAAAAAGCCACCCTTGGAAAAATCCGACCAGGGTTCAGGCTCGACAAGCATAGGAAGATGTTTTGCGAGAAGACTGTGGACAGGTTCTCGCTTCAAAGTTGCCACCAAACTTTTGTTGGCCATAATAACTCCAACCTTTTTGCCCAACTTGTACTGATGGGCATGGCAGAATGCTGGCTGCATTTGGGTCACAATCTCTCCCGTCTCTGGATGGGTCAAAGCTACAGGCACTTTGGCAACCTCGATGAGTGCAGACATTAGGAATGCTCCGACTTTTGCTCTCATAGCAAGGGGCCATTGGCGATCTTCAAGCGCTTCAGCTGTTTCCGATTGGTCTAGATCGATCAATGGCTTAGATGTCCGGAATCGAGTGGCCCGTTTTAGTTGTCCAATGTCAGGACGGTTATTGCTATTTGGCCATATATTTTTCTTGCTTGCTTTTTGGATAGTATCGAACGCGCACTCGTCTTCCACACTCTTTGCAATCGCCATGATGGCGTTCGAGAGAGGGATACCTTTATCCAAACCCATGGAGCTCATCGTAGTCATAGCCGATAAGATAGTCACAGCAGCAAGCTTGTCAGGGGGAAGTAGACGTAGAAATGGCCCGTAGATGACGCGGTCCAGGTCCTCAGGTAGCATTTTTTTGTTGACCTTTTCGGCTGTTATATTTTCGGCGGCGTCCACTTTGGCGATCTCATCCTTGAGGTACTGCTCAAAAACGGTTTGCCACTTCCACATCCTGGCTCCCAGGGATTTGGTTTGCAGTGAGGTGTTCAGACCCATTTTGCTCAGATGGATACTTTCATCTCTCCAGCGGTCGATGGCCGATTCGACGGCATTCTTCTCGAGACGCTGTTGGACTTCTCGTTTCATTTCCTCTGATGCTGTAGAGAGGTCAATGCCCTCGTAGGGAAGCGTTGTGAATAATGAGAGAGACTTCTTCAAGGACTTTAGGCCCAACCCTTTCTGTTCAGTGGGCTTTACCGAGGGCGTTGGGATTTTCGATTCTAGCTGGTCCAACTGAGCAACTTCAACCGTATCAGGATTGTGCAACTCCTCTTCCGTCTCCATGACAAAATTGTATTTCGGGTAGATTTGGGTCGTTTCGTGTATTTCTTGTGCAGTCAAAACCTGAGCATCTAACAGCTGCAGAGCAGAGTCTTCGTTGAGCAGATCCATATATCTTCGCACCAATCGTTCTCGTTTTCCGGCAGGGGATTGGAGTGATGCCTTCACCATGTAAGCGACGGTTTCCGTATCTTGTGGAAGGCCCGGGAGTCTGATATGAAGTTCGAACCACTTGTGGAGCTCTTGTAAAGCTGAGTCTCCTGGACTTGTCATAACTTTCTCCACAGCAGCTCGGAGGTACCGATTGTGAAGCTTGACCAAGTCAACAGCATGGATCTCATTGATTTGGGATATCCGTTGGAGTATCACCCCCGCGCGCTCGATCCTACCAACTTGAAGGCAGGCATCAAACACAGAGTGTATCTCCGACAAGTCTCCTCCGATACCCTTGAAGTTCCTCGAGTATTTCATGGGGGGCATCGTAGTCGAGCCACCAAGGTTAAGTGGCTGAGACCGGTAGGGCTGATAGCCATGCATGCTATCCGAATCACTCAAGCCGTATGCGGACCCGGAAGGCGTAGGCGGCGGCATGCCTCGCAGCCTCTCAAAAGGTATGTCGTCCATGGGCATGTATCCGGTGGCTGTTGCCAGTGCCCTTCGAGGAGGCACGCTCGAGGCATCTTGAGAATTCCTCCTCCTCCTCGGCCCGCCAGCTTGTGGTCCAGCGTCGGCAACAAACCGTCGCCGCTTGATTCTTGAGGCGTTGAAAGTCGGGGAGAGCCACGGGAGGCGCAATTGGCCATGGAAAGGTCGATATCGAATCGCGTCAGGGCGAGCTCTCCGGCGCGCAGATTGAACGAGCATCATCGGGCAGGGCAGGGCAGGGCTGCACCGAGCAGGGTATATGTATTGTACACGAAAAAGTAGAAACAAGAAGTGAAGGCACGCAAGGAACAGAATTAAAGGGCAGAGAGGACAGTAGAGATCAAAGGAGGATGGTGATACAGTGCCATTCGAGTGCTTGTCGCGTCGGCTTGAGTACTATGGAGAGAGGACAGGAGGCGAGGTGAACAAAAATTTGGCTATTACTGTCAATTGTCATCACCCCTGTCTACCGTAGAATTCCCGAGACCTGATAACCGACCTTCCTTATAACAATCAACTATTGATTTAAGGAAAGGGGATCACCAAACTTCCAACTCCAGGCTACAAATAATGGTCGCCAGCAGAGCTCTGCGTGCCTCTGCCACTGCCACTGCTACTGCCTGTGCCAGCTGTCGATTATCGATAATCCGGAGCTTCACCTCTCTCGCTGGGCCTTCCATTCGGGCTCCGCAAGTCCATGCAAGATCTGTGAGATGCAGCCGCTCAAGTCAACAAATCCGACTGTCGTCACAGCTGGTCTACGATGGTCAAGCAACCGCTGATGGCGAACGAAATGTTACCAGCAATGAATTCGAGGAACTGGAGAAGGGGGAGGAGGAGGATGTGATGGAGGAGGGTAGGAAATTGGATGACCAGGGCGAGGAATCGCAAGTGTCCGCATTGCCATGGTATCTGCAAGTCGAGTCGCCTCAAAGAGCGCCGAAGCAATTGTCAGAACGACAGCGCTTACCAGACCTCCCGGATGCAGCCCCTCCGATATTGCAACCCTTGATGCAACAAATATCAGTCGACCTCGGTCTGGACGATCTAGCCCTGCTTGATCTACGAAAGCTCGATCCTCCTCCGGCATTGGGAGCGAACCTCTTCATGATCCTGGGCACGGCGCGAAGTGAGAGACATTTGCATGTATCTGCTGATCGATTATGTCGGTGGCTGAGAAGCAATTACAAACTACGACCCGACGCGGATGGTTTGTTGGGAAGAAACGAACTGAAGCTGAAGTTGAAGCGCAAGGCCAAGAGAGCGAAGCTCATGGGAAGTGCAAATGATGATACTGGCGATGACGGTGTGAGGACCGGCTGGGTTTGCGTTGATGTTGGCGTCGTTGAGGGAGGAAGCGAAGCAGTACCCGATGCACCTCGCCACGAAAATTTTGTGGGGTTTGGGCGGAGGACTGATGGAGTGCGGATTGTTGTTCAAATGCTGACTGAAGAGAAGAGGGAGGAGATTGAGTTGGAGAAGCTGTGGGGTGGTATTCTCAAACGAGCTGTTCAACATGAATTAGACAACCCAAATGTCGAGATTGAACCTCCGCAAACCTCAGCTGTCCAACCTGAACTTCCAGTTGCACTGGAACGACCAAGAGAAAGCCTAGGAGCAATATTCGGAAAGACGCAGACTCGGAAATTGCATACATCAGCACGCCGCATGGAGGTACTTGCTGCACCCAACCAACAGGCGGGGTTCGACATCGTTGCCTTCGAGGAATCCTTAACGCGCGAAGTCGAGTCGGGAAATTATGAAACGGCCACGAAGATTATGCGTGGAACTCTACCATTGGCTGGCTCTTTCCAGCAAGAAAAATTGAAACTATTCATTTTGGGGCAATTGAGGACCAGTCTTAGCCAATTGCCGACAGAAGTTGCTTCTGAGAAACTAGGGGTCGGCTCTTCTTCACAGACGGCACCTTACCTTACCTGCTGGGACGAAGCCTCGTCCTCTTTCCCAAATGAGTTTGAGGCTGAATCGAGAATTTGGTTGGCGTGTTATGCTCGAGAACTAGGACACGAAGAGTATCGTAGGAGTACTCTATTTAAAATTTTTGAGGATCTACAAGAGTACGGGGTAAAGATCTCTTCGGTATCATATCTACGCCTTCTCATGGGAATCCTGCGACAGGACAAAGGCGAGAGTTATTACCATGGCCCTACACAAGTAGCCGCCGGAATGTCTGCGTCAATTCTGCAGGCTATGTACGAATCTGGCATCGACATCATTGATGAAAAAATCCTGGTCAACATACAAGAAGTAGTCACTCCTGAAATGCCCAGAGAAGTAGCTTCGGAGAGGATTTACATGGACTTGAGCAATACGTTTGGTCTTCACAGTCTACCAATGTCACCAATGCAACACCGCATTCACGCACTCATGATGTCTCTTGATCTACCTCTGTTTCAAGACGTCTCACGAATGAGATTGATGGATCTGTACGCCCGAAACGGACACTGGAAAGCTTTTTTCGAGATCTTTCGCATGGCACCTAGAAAGGGCAAACCTCAGTCAACAAATGTGTACGCCTTTATGTTTAGATCTGTTGCAAAAACTGGTTGCCAGAAGGCATGCCTGGCTGTTCTACGGACATGGATACCGGATCTTGAAGCAGAGAAGCCGGAGATCAAGCTTGACGGGGATATCGGAGAAGCTGTCAAGGCTTGTTTGAGAGTATCAGATCCTACAATTGAGCAAGATGCTATTGGACTTCCTGATATGAAGGGCGAACTTCTGAACCTGTGGCGACGGGTTGGATGAGTAGCGGCTCAAGAAGGTAGGAAGGCTCTGCTCTGTAATAAAGTGTTAAATACATGTAAATGATACCTAGGGCCGGGGCACCGTTTAAAAGTGTATTAGAATGCGCAAAAGCAAACGTCGATAGATATATTCTACAGTTAGTAATGTGACTTAGACGTCGACTTAGACCTACGTCGGCAGTGTTGCGAAAGTGACTATGTGAAACATGACTTAGAATAATGATTGGTGACTGCGGGCGGTCTTGAACGTGGTCGTGCTTCCTAGCAACAACACCTAATCAGGCTGGCTCGCCAAAGCTTGTTTCGTCCCATCTCTTGTTTATAAACACAGCCTCCACCCCCCCAACGGCCACCACATCATTTTTATCATCATCCTGAAATCTCCACCAACACTCGAAATTCACTCTAGTACATTCCATTCCTACATCCTGCAAAAATGATAGTGACGCCCTTTGCTCCCCTCCTCCTCTCCTCCTTCGTCGGAACGACAATCGCATGGGGGACTCTTGGCCACACAACAGTCGCTTATATCGCGTCCAACTTTGTGCAGTCTACCACCCGCGACTTCTTCCAAGACATCTTGCACAACACGTCCGATTCATACCTTGCTGGGATCGCGACGTGGGCTGACTCCTTCCGGTACACGGCTGCTGGGAGGTTCTCGGCACCGTTCCATTTTATTGATGCGGAGGATGATCCGCCCAGGGGCTGTGGTGTTAGTTATGCGCGGGATTGTGGCGAGCAAGGGTGTGTGGTGGGAGCCATTCAGAACTATGTGAGCTCGAAAATGGCGCCCTGCATTGAATGTGGTATATATTGCGGCGTAGGTGATTTGAGCTGACAGTGATGGGTTAGACGAGACAGCTATTGAACTCAGAGTTAAATGGGGGGTTGAGAAACATGGCTGCTAAGGTGTGTCCCCAACAATTGAAATCAGACCGGGATATTGATGCTGCAAACAGTTCGTCGTCCACTTGGTGGGAGACATCCATCAACCTCTTCATGTCGAGAACATCGAGAAAGGTGGAAACGGCATCCAAGTCCTGTTCGATGGAAAGCACGTCAACCTCCACCATGTATGGGATACCAGTATTGCGGAAGGAATCGTCGGCGGTTATGCCCTTCCTTTCGCGGAAGCATGGGCGAAGAATCTCACTCTGGCTATCAAGGAGAACGAGTATAAGTCTTTTGCTCCGTCTTGGCTGGAGGGCATCGACTTGAGTGATCCGACGACGACTTCGCTTGGTTGGGCGGAGGAAACAAACTTGTTTGTTTGCACCGCTGTTCTCCCTGCTGGCCGGGAAGGCGTCGAGAACCAGGAGTTGAACGGGACTTACTATGAGAACGCTGCACCTGTCATTCAGTTGCAGGTAGCAAAGGCTGGTTACAGACTGGCGAAATGGTTGGATCTGATTACCGAGGCCCAAGTCAATAAACCAGAGTTGTGAAAGAAGGAAGATGTCTACTCTCTACGCTCAACTGCAGCAGGATAACGCTTGTCTAACTAATCCTCTAGTAAAAACTTAAGGAACGCCTGTGCTACCACAACACCGTCTTGGTGCCTGTCTACTCGTTCCGACCCTGACTTGTATATCTCGTCGCTGAAGACCCCCTGAGCATGCCGAGCTTCTAACACTTCCGTCATGATTTCCCGAGTAAACTCGGGATGGCCCTGCACCGAAATAAACCTCCCCTTCGCATACATGGCGTGCGTAGAACAAGCGCTGGTAGAAGCCAAGCCCTCTACCCCTTCCGGATAGGAGAAAATGGCGTCTCTATGCATTTGATGTATAGCCTGTCGTCCATATCATAAGTCCCAACTGCATCCATATTCTCAAGATCCAAAAGAAGAGCGCAAATGAGCACGACCTACCAGACTCTTCTTCCCAAAGATCTCCTGGCCCCTGCTCGTCAAGTCCATAGTCACCACACTCACCTCCCACCCGCCCTCACTCCTGCCGACCTCGACCCCCATTGCCCGCGCCAAGATCTGATGCCCAAAACACACGCCCAAGATCCTCACTCTCCTCTGCTCCAGCACCTGTTTCGTGTACTCTACCAGCTTCAGGATCCACGGGTCGTTGTCGAAGGAATTGTATTTCGATCCCGTGATCAGCAGAGCGTCCACGTCTTCTAGGCGAGGGTAGGACTGTGCGGTGACGACGTCAAAGGCTGTGATTTCCAATCCGGAGGCAGCCGAGAGCCCAGGGTAGGAGGGAGAGGAGGAGGAGGAGGAGAGGGAGTCGGCGCCGGCTTTGAGGAGTTGGGTGAAGAGGCGGTCGTAGGCGCCGTATTTAGATACCACGGATGGGAGGGGGGTATCGCATTCGAGGATGGCTATGCGGAGAGGTAGGGTGGGCATGGTGGATGGGGAATATGAAATACAGAGACGGATAGGAATAAGGCAGCGCAACGCAATGGAGATATGAGATATAGAAGAGATATCCGTAAGCAAGGAGGAAGTGTTGTGTGTGGATGTACTGAATTGACTCTTGAAGATTCGTATCTACATACCGGTAGTACGTACGGTAGTAGGTACGGAGGTTATTAGGTTTGGCACTTATCGATAAGCGTAGTGGCGATATCGATATCGTATCGGAGCAAAACAGCCGAAGTCTTGCCCCTTTGTAATTAATTACGCTGCCAAACTTCTTCCAAGGTAGTAGTAGTAGTTGTACAACTATATTCGGAGAGTCAATGCCTCTTCAATCTGGTTCCTGATGGCATGAAGGCAAGATGTAGCTCGCCACCTACGCACATCTTTTCCTTTGACCGCCAATCTCCGTGCGGCATGTCTGTATGCACTATGCAGGCTTGTTGCGTGCTCCTCTTACTACGAAGACTATTATTAAGAAAACAAGCCAGGCCGGTCTTTACCTACTTGGAATTTTCTTTTCTTTCCTTTTCCTTTATCTTCAACTTCAATATCCATTCCAACTTATCTATTTATCTCATACTGATCAGTCGCCCATCCTAAGAGAGTCGAGGCACAGCTTTTGGGAATCAGCAGCCATCTGGACTAGAAGCACCAGTACTTGCTGGCACTTACAGCGGATGAATCGGATGTAATCTCACGTATCACAGCTAATTACCCCACGGAAGTTCTGTTTTGTAGATCATCTCTTGTTGCACCTCAAGAAACACGATCTCTTGCCCCGGCAAGCTTTTGATCTTCATCCCACTCTTCGTCTCGTTCGACAATGGCGGAAAACGGGAATGGTGGCGGCTCGAGGGGCCAGCAAAACGGGGTCAATGAGCATACATCGCTGCTTTCTGCTCACAACGGACTCGAATATAGTCGCGGGATTTCTTCCGGCGACACTCTCGGAGATGAGGATGACATGGCTATCGGAGCAAATGAGTTTGACAACCTCCTGTCAAGGTCCCAGTCCATCAGTAGTGGCCTGGGAATCGAGCCAGAGTCGCAAGAAACGGCAATGCTTCGAGGACCTCGACGATATGGCATTGTGAGATCAAGATCCCGTGCTCCAAGTTGTTCCAGTACTCTACGTCGAAAAAAATCGCAAGCAAGCAGCTCGAGCAGCCACGAGGCCATCGAAGAGGAGTACGAGCCAGAAGACGGGAAACCGAAATCGCCATTCCTTGCTGGCGTCAGTGTCTCGAGGTTCTGGCTCATATTCGGAGGAGTATTGACTGCTCAATTCGTTGCCTGTTTCGACGGCACCATCATGGTGTCTTCTCACCCGGTCATCACGTCTCACTTCCACAGCTCCAATAGTGCTTCCTGGCTATCGACAGCTTTCCTATTGACCTCAACGAGTTTCCAGCCGTTGTTTGGGCGTCTTTCGGATACAATTGGGAGGAAACCTCCTTACATCTTTAGCATGTCACTATTTTTACTTGCTACGATCTGGTGTGCACTTGCTCAGAGCATGACTAGCTTTATTCTTGCTCGAGCTGCCTGCGGATTGGGAGCTGGCGGTATGATGGCGATGGGCGCGATCATTACTAGTGACCTCGTACCAATTGAGATCCGCGGGGCATACCAGTCCTATATTAACATTGTTTATGGTGCTGGCTCTGCACTTGGCGCAGCTACCGGGGGGGCAATTGCAGACAGCTTGGGGTGGCGTTGGGAGTTTGGTATTCAAGTACCGCTTCTCGCAGTGGCTTTATGCATCGCAACCTCGAGCGTACCGAATAAGCTTGGCCTGGTGGCGGGTGCAGAGAAGAAAACTGTCTGGGAAGCTATGAAGGTGTTTGACTACAAAGGTTCGATTCTTCTGACGACTTTTATCACGTTTCTCATCCTTGGCCTGGTAAGTTGAAGTCCTCGCCTCACATCTCAGTACTCGCTGACTCCTTTTACAGAATCTTGGTGGTAACATCTACTCATGGTCGCATCCCTTGGTCATCGCATCGCTTGTAATCTTTGGTGTCTGCTTTCCATTATTTGTTTGGGTAGAATCGCGAGTTGAGCTCCCGATCATGCCTTTGGATCTAGTAACTCGCTATCCTCGAGCCGGGCTCATCCTATCCAACTGGCTCGGCGCGATTGTCATGAATGCTGTCATGTTCAACATCCCTCTGTTTTTTCAGGCCGTCCTACTCGAAAGTGCCACAAGCTCCGGCCTTCGCCTCATAGTACCTTCAATCGCCTCCTCATCTATTGGCACTGCAACTGGGTTCCTGATCACCTACACCAAGCGACTGAAGCTATACGTAGTACTGGGGGGCGTCTTCCTCATCATTGGGACTGTGGCACTATCGTTCATGCGGAGGGGATTATCGGATTGGGCATATCTATTGTTCCTAGTACCTCAGAGTATGGGGCAGGGCTTCTTGTTTCCAGCGACGTTCATGACCGTGCTTGCTGTCTCTGAACAGCGGGAGCAGGCTGTGGTGACTAGCACGTTGATCTTGTGGAGGTCTATCGGACAGGTTCTGGGAGTAGCGACGAGTAGCTTGGTGCTGCAGAATTCGTTATTCCTTAACCTCGAGAGCATGGTGTCTGGACCGGACAAGGAGGACGTTGGTATCCCTCCCCTCTTTAGGACAACAGCATTGACGTGGATTTTAGGTTATCCAGCAGGTTCGCAAGTCTGTTCGAGCAATCGCCAACCTCGACCCGCACTACAGAGAGCAAGTCATAGACGCCTACGCAGAATCTTTGCGCGCGACCTTCGTCATGTCAGCAGTATTATCAGCCGTCGCGTTCGTCATGATTGTTCCTCTCAGGCTACCGCGACTAGGTCAAAGAAAATAAGCCCTGGTATACAAGTCAGGAATTGGGATCACAGTATATGCATAGGAGTTTCCTCCTCCAAAAATTGATCATCCTGCATATGCATGGAGTTCCTAGCATTAGCATACGGCCCAGCGTTTCTGCTTATTAGCCGAGTCTTGAAAATAGTAACAGATACCAAAATGAATCACCACCTCCTTATGTACCTAGATATACTAAGGTGCCGTTTGGTTCAACGCCAGTATGTAATTCGTAAATACTGGCTTAAATACTGGTTCTGTAAAAACTCTAGTATTTGTATCACGGTATGTACATACCGGTACGTACATACCGATGACTTAAGACGGTTTGGTTAAATGAAACTGACTAGATTTGTAAAGGATTCTGACCCGCATTTCTCGTGACGTTAATGCGTCATGATTTTCTACAATTTGATGTAGGTGGATTCTACGTAAGTAAAAAATAGCCAACGGAATCTCTCCTACGACCTCTTCGCCTCCGAATATACAAACCGAAGATTCTTTTATAATGTACGAACCGCGCCGCCTTTTTCTTTCCTCGATACTTCTAACTCCTCTACTTGATTATTGCTTACGGCAATCTGCTTTCCACGATGTATCCACGCGCCTCTTCTGCTAGCCAGGTCTTTCAAACGATTACCACGGAGATGCGGCCAACACCACGAAGAAAGATGAAAAATATCGCTGAGACGCTTTAAAAGGGCTCGATCCCCTCTATCGAACTGATCAGAAGAAATCTCCGGCAGGCTTTCTTAAAAGGTCGAGAAAAGCATATCGGAGTTTCGACTTTAATCGGGGCTTACTTTTTTCTTTTTTTCTCTCTTTTTTTCGTACTATCCATCCATCCCGCTCGTAAAGGGAAGGGAAGGGGAGGGGAGTGAGTACCTACTCGTCTCGTTTCGACACTCTTTTGAATTGCATTATGGGGTATTTTATTATAAACCCTCCCTCCGCATTGCACGTCTCCGTACCCCAGGACGAGGAAGCGCATGCTATCTACGTTCTAGGTTCGCTAGACGTTAGTAAATACAACAACAACAACAACAAAAACATCTTTTTGATAATAACTCGATCGGCATGGAAAAAACCAACAGATTTGCGATTAAAAGAACCGAAAAAAGTCCCAAGAACATGGAGAGGTTTTCAAGAATTTCTGTATGTGTGTGCGAGGTCAGGTTTCCTGGTGGGGAAGAGTATGTGGTGATCCCGTCACTACCAGTATCAAAGACGGTAGGTGGGGAAAGCCTGGGCCACGGAGTACAAATTTTCATGGGGTGGGAGGAGGGGAATGGGCGCTGGCAGAAGTTGAGGGTGAAGGTGACACTAATCTTTAAAGATGGATGTTGCCGAGCTTCGCTTATGGTTGAGAGAAGCTTGTGGGAGGGGACAAACAACCACCACTGGGGCCCAAGATTGATCGTGAAAGGACATTCATTCATTGACTGACTGGGTCTACTACGAGAGCAGGCGTTTCTTGAAGCGCAGAAGAACCTGGGACGACCTGGGGAATCCTACAGATAAGGCATGAATGAGGGTGTAGCTCTCTGGGAGGAGATAGCTGCGCCCAGTCCATCTGGGTAAAGGTCGGCCGCCGAACACAGTAGTTACCACCCACCATACTGTCTACGGACAGTGATTGTTGACTTTATCACGTGACTCTCTCGCCCCAATCCTTGGCGAAAAGGAGGTGGGTTGTAGCGAAGCCAGGCCTGTCTCATAGAATAGCTAGGTACTCATTCACTCTTACTCACGTATCAAAAACAACTTCTGAGAAAGATACTATCTCATGGCTGTGATACTGGTATTTTCCACCTGAGCAGCTGCCCCTCTATCAGGCACCCACCCCCCTTACACATCGACCAAACACCATGGCTACCTTTGTATGTACTGTTCCTCCTGATGTGTGTATCATCCTTCCTCCCATCCAAACGCCAGGCTGAAAATGCCGCTGAAGTAAAAAAAACCGGGTCCCGAAGACGCACCGGCCACCAACCAGAAGCCCAAACCTTGAACCCAATATCCCGCTAAAAATGACAATAGAACCAAGCTCCGTGGCCTTGACAGGCTGTCCAAGGAGCAGCCGAGCCGAAAAACGCCGTCCCCATTTCGCTGTACCGGTAGTTCCGGTAGTTCCGTACCATGTGTGGATCTGCCCTTATCGATTGTGTGACACCCCCACTCCCTCATATATACTGTCGTCATCTCCCCTCTCGACGCTTTTTGCTCTCGTCTTTCGGAACACCACCTGCCTCTACCAATTCAATCGCTTTCTCGTACTCGAACTTCGCAGTAGGATGCTCGGCCACGACTGGAGATCCCGGATCCGAACAGCTCGCGTAATCGAACGCCAGCTCATCCATCTCCTTTGCCCTCTTCGTTCCCGACCCTAGCAGCAACTTATGTCCCCCGTGGGAGAATCTCTCCTCAGACATCGTAGCATTCTCCAACAGGTCCGACGCCTCTCTTCTCACAGGGTTCATCACTCCGTCGTCAGGGATCGAGTCCCACCACTCCGCTCTCCTCGCATCGGGACCCCTTGGTCTAGGCGACGCACCTGCCTGCGCTTCGTTCCGCTCATCCACCAGCCTCTGCCTCGCAGCCACCGCCTCCCGATGCGCCTCCCCGCGCGTCTTGCCCGGCCCGCTTTGCCGCACCCTCCGTTTCCGGAAACCCGTCCAGTCCGCCCAGAATTTGAGCGAAACCCAGAACCCGCCGTTGGTGCCGGGGATGTGTTTCCACGGCTTCTCGCGCGTAGAGAAGAGCCAGGCGTCGACAGCGGCTTGCAGGGATAGCGACACTGTGGCGCAGCAGGTTAGTGCAAAGGGCGGATCGGTGGCGAAGCGGTCGGAGTATTGCAGGCCATGGGACGCGAAGGGGAGGAACCACATTCCGATGTAGACGAGGGGGTAGATGAAGAGGAAACGCAGTTGGCGCTGGATTTTCTCGCGGGTACGGTCGAGTTCGGCGTCGTCACGGCGGAGGGAGATGATGGGGTGTGGTGAGTCGGTGGACTGGTCTGGGTGTCGTCGTAGAACGGTGAAGATGTCGACTACGGAGTTTCTCGTGGTGCTCTCCCTACTGGTGTTGTGGGGTGAGAAACGGCGGACGAAGTTGTCTCTCCAGGATGTGGCTCGGGATGGAATTTCCGATACCGATTGACTTCGTGGTGATATAGGTTCCGGTAAGGTTGGTGGCAGCGGTTGGGGCATTGTGGGCCCTTCGAAGGAATCGTCCTCGATCACTGAACCCTCAGAAGGAGGAGCCGGCGAGGAGTTGCCCGGGCCAGACAAGCTCTGAAACATGAATCGATGAGCACTGGACCTCTTGCCTTTGAGTTGAAGCCTATATGAATCCTCGGTTGAGACGGAAGGCTTCCTGGCCGCTGTCTCCACCCTGGAACCACTGCTCTGCCTAGAATGGCCCTTCAGCCAGTCATAAGTGGCGAGGACCGGCGTAGATGGGACCGTATTCTGCCGTCGATGTCTGTGCCGCCTGTAGGCTTTTTGCACTGATTTCGAGGAGTTGCCGTTAGAATGCGAGGTGTATCTCGCCAGTCTCCCAAACCCGCTGAATCTGTACTTCACATAGAAGTAGATCGATGCGTATATAGCGAGGATGATAACAAAAATAATGTATCGGGGTATCCAGTCCAGGGCCAGTCGATACCAGAATGGTCTGACCGGCAGGTAACAATATGTTCCTACCGAAACGTATGCATGCCTGCCATTAATGAAAGCAAGTGAGGCCATCATGAGGGGAAAGAAGACCCAGAGTGTGTAAGCAAGCTTGCGATATGGGTAGAGGCCTCCTTCGCCGCGCGAAGCCTTTGGTCTAAATATATATAAGGCGCTATGAACGGCAATCATGAGGACCGAAAAATCTAAAATCGTTAGAGTAAGCCGTGTGTGTGCGATAATTGTTTCCTACCAGATGCTTCTAAGCCCAGGGCAATCAGAAAGCCATTGGCTTGACAAAATGCCGAGGTGTCTTCTACAGGCCCATTCACAAACACCACGATAGGGTATATCATGAACCACAGAGCTTTGAACATGTCACTCTGGATCAACAACATGATGAGACTGATGCAGGTCAGTGTTTGCGCTCGGTAACTTGACTATGGAGGCTTACTCATGCCTGAAGCTCCTTCGCATTTTCAAAAACCAGTAGAATGTTAATACAGAAGAAGCAACACTGATCGTGGAGAATGTCACAGCCAGAATTTGCAGAGTGTTCTTCTGCGCGGCATTGAAAGCGTGTGCCGAGATGGTTCCAACGCCGCCACCCAAGCCCCGGGCCGGCAGTACGAGGTTCCCCAGACGCATTGCATCTACGCCAGACGACAGAGGTGCCATTGGAGACGATCTGAGATGTAAATTTGTCTCCAGAGAAATTTGAGAAGTCGAGGGTTATGAATTCGTTTTCTTTCTGCTTCGTAAAGTCCGCATTTCGAACTCGGCGCACAAATCGTCAGGCCGGGATTCTGGTTGGTGACCGGGTCCGAAGGCGGCAAGCCGTGCCAATATCTCGAGAAGTGAGGTAGTAGCAGTTGTATCGGCCGACGCGCAGACAGGACAGAGATCCTGAGTTGCAGTTATCCGACGGTTCCAGCGTTCGTCTCCGACTCTCCCAATACAGAATGAGGTCAGCGGATGGTTGAAGGGTTTGGATCTGGATCCAGATCCAGATCCAGATTTAGTTGTCGAACGGGCGGTCAACGAGATTTGGCGAAAGTGGACTACTGTAGTAGTGTATGATGCAGCGGATAGTCGATGTGGGGACTCGGCAGTGACGATGCGAGCGAGCCGAAGTCAACAAATAAATGGTGGCTGGGGTTGGGGTTCTGGGGTTCTGGGGTTGGGGCTGGTGAGTGAGTGCTCGCCGTGAAATGTATCTTTATATATTTGGATTTTGGTAATCTGGTATTTTGGTTCTTTGGTATTTTGGGTTTTGTGTTGTGGGTTTTGGGTGAGTAAGTGAGTAAGTAAAGTATCACTGGGTGAAGCCATGAAAAGAAAGGAAGATAGAGAACTCTTGTCAGATGTCAATCATGGGAAGGGAAAACTGATCACGATGGGCAAGAGGAAAGCAAAATCTTCCAATCGGATCAGTGGATCAGTGGATAGATGGATGGACATAGTGCAGCATCTAGTCGACAGTGACCTACGGAGAGTAGTAAACAACTGGCGGAACCGAGGGCGGCCCTGCCCGGTCCTTTCCTGCCACCCTGCCACCACTTGCTCTAGCCACGGCCACTCTGCAGTGCCCGCCATAGCCGCCGCCCCTGTAAACTCTAAGTATCTATACCGGTACTGTATCTAGGTACCTATCTGTACGCGATGTCTCTCGAGTCTGGCTATCTATCATCCGCCACGATGCACCTGATTATTTCTTCTTCTCGCTGCTCATGCCCCAGCTAGAAGTAAAAGACCTTGTGCTGCGAGCGGGCCGGACTCGTGGCAGATGACGACAATACATCGTGCTTTTAGTTTTACGATTACTTCGTACTCCGGACATCTAGACTTGATCTTTGCCTTCGCTTAAGGTAAATCGATGATCTCCACGGGTGATGCATCCTTGTGCCCGAACGGACTCGGGACTCGGCAGCTTCACCGTTCGCTCGGATCACAGCACTGTCCTGGCTGTGGCGGTGGCGGCGGCTATTTCACATGGGCCTTTTACCCATCCCGAAAGGCTGGACGACAGCGTCAAGGTCAAGACTTAAGGGGAGAGAGGGGGAAGAGGGGGAAGACTCAGTATCCGGGTATCTATCCCTCAGTGTGCTAACAGAGATGCGCAACTCGCCTTGTCAGTAGGTTTTTGAGATTTTAAGTCTCGTTCTATTACCCGACGTCAATTATTTTGGTTTGTTTTTTGTTTGGTTCTGCTTTGATGCGCATGACTCGCAGGTACTACGTCCCAGGCGTGTAAGTATTACCCCTCAAGGGTAGGGTAACCAGGGGGCTTATAGTGGAAACCAAACTTTTGAGGCACCCTCGAGGGGTAATACTTAGGCCTGTACCGTGGTACATCTTAGAGAAACGTCGAATTAGGCGCCCGGTCCGGTTCGCCTGATTACCACCCTGTGGCCCGGATATCAAAGCGCTCTTGTGAAAAGAAAAGACAGAGGTACTGCTACTCATTGGATTTAAAAAAAATCCTGCCTTTTTACTTACCTGAGGACATGTGAATTGACAATGTCAACATGCCGAGAAGTCTTTCGAATGCTGACAGGCATAAACTCAATGTCCCTCGCGTATAGGCAAAGTAAGCCCAATCCCCGTATTTGACTGTGAGTACCTAGTCACTTGCTTGATTGGTTTCTCCAAGGAGCTTCAATACTGCTCGCATAGTGCCATTCTTTGTTTTCAGAATGGGTAGTTTACATCAGAGGAAGATATCTGCTGGGCCCAACCAAGGACATCAAAAAGCTCCCAGAACTCCTCCTGTACACAAGCCATCAATCAAATCTCAGCACGCCAGTACCCTCTCGCTTCCCAATCCCAATCAGGTCACAAACGCTGTCCCAAATCAACCGATACGCCAACTTGAACCTCCCCCCTCCGCTTTTGCCTCGCCCTGTCGCTTCACTCGGACTTCTCTCTCCCCCCCGCTGGGCTTTCGTCTTGGTGCCGCTCGGTCTCTGATTGCTCCTTCTTTTGTTGGTGCTATTATGCGCTCCTTTGAAAACTTCCGCGCTAAGCTCGCGAGCTTACTTTTATTTCTCAACTTATTAGCTTAAAAGTCTTGGTTGGCAGCTATTAGCTTCCCTTCTTCCTTAACCAATCTTTCATTAATGCCTATTTGCTATAGCCGTAGCATAGAGACGCAGAGGGTATTCTCGTATAGAAGAGGCAAGCGACGGCTATTCGGGCAAGCCGTAATTTATTAGCTTTTATTCGATAGCACGTATGTTTAGTTGTTGAATCTGCAAAAAGCATGTAAGCGTAAGGTGGAGGTCAAACAATTCGGAATCGCCGTTGCAATCTTAAGAAACATTTGCGAGAAAAAAAATTGGTTGGAGTTTCCTTTTTAGGTTTAATTTAATGTACGGACAATACTGCATTCTCCGGTAACATTTTATTGCTTTCCATGTTGCGGAATAGATAAAGCGATAAATTATCAGCCGGAATCGAGTCATCGATATTTACATTCTAAGCTGATTGCCCGTGGTATCTCATGCAACCTGTGTGATGCGCCGAAATGCATTAACCAAATTCCATGCCCCCATTCTTCCCACTCCGAACACCCAATATCCTGCCAGCCCAAGTTCGTTGTTGTTGCAAACCCAAACTCCAGATGTCATGCTCTTGCAATATTCAGCCAACCACTGACGAATCAATCAACAGGCTGTTGCTTAAATAAGCTCTTGCCCATCAACCACTTCCGATAAGCCCTATATCTCTTCTTCCCCAAATCATCCTCCTTCACGTCCAACGGATTCTCGCCCACCGCAAGAAAAGCTCTCATCTCTTCCTCTGTCTCCCCTCCCTCCGCACCATCCTCACCTTCGCTCGTCACAATGCTCACGTCCTTCCAGCTGCCATTCACATATTCCAGGTACTCGGCGTCAATCTCTCCAGGAATCTCGGTACTGACTACCAGCGGCAGTGTCTGTGGATGTGAGATGTAGCGCGCGTAGTCCGTCTCTTCTTGTGCGGACACGGATGGGTTGAGCGACTCGTGCACAACTTGCGTGAAGGTCCATTGCGCGGCTTTGCTCTTGTCTAGTGGCGTCAATTTTTGCTTGGGCGGGGAGAGGGTTGGCTGCTGTGGCTCTTTCATGATGCTCGGGTGTGCATCCGTCTTCTCGTGGATAGGTTGCAGCCACCTCTGTATCGAGATCCTTTTCGTATTCATCGTAACGCTAGACCTGATGGACGAATTATCGTCATCTATGGCTTGGCTTTCGGTTTCCTCGGAGGGATCAAGGATGGTAACTTCCTTGCGCGTCCTCTTCTTGTCAGGCACGTCTTGGTCCAGCTCGGTGCGCACTTTGAAGGGAGAGAGATCGTATCGACCTTCTTGCGTAGACCGCACGGGGATGTAGCGAATTGTGGAATTGAGCTTGCCCATGTAGGAGAATACTTTCAGAAGAGAGGACACAGAACGTGGTTTGTAGTATTCAACCCAGTAGTCATCAAAGTAGACAAGCGGTTTGTGAATTAAGGGGGCCGGTGGGTCGACGTGTGCTGGGAGGACGCGTTTCTCGAGAAATGCGGGCGTGTACCAGTCGATATAGCTGCGTCTTCTTTCGCTGGACCAGGCGCGCGGGTCCGCGTGGTGAAGGTAATAGTCCGTTTGAAGATCCCAGAGCATGGGCTGGCCTTGCACGAATACGTAGTTGCCCAGAAAAAGATTGTATGCTTCTTGGCGTTGGCCGTCGAGGAATGAGTTGTTGTAGTATCGCTTAAAGCTTTCTACCATGTCTCGCGAATGACTAGTCCATTGATTGATTTTTCGGTAGGTCTCCATGGTGTTTACGAGCTGCGAGCCACCGTATTGGATAGCGATAGTATCTCCATGGTCGTGATACATATGTGTGAAAAGATTGACAGCATCGGTGTCATAGTCGATGGAAGTGTCGGCAATGATTCCAAGAGCATGAAGCTGATGTCCCAGCGCTCTCTTTCCTATCACAAATTGGGCGGCGTTTGTTCGGTCCAAACAATCAATGCAATTCGTCCTCGCAACTCCATTCTGAACTTTGGGCATACTAATCTTACCATCTCCGTTGTGGAAGAAGCCAGTAGTCGTAACTACGTTTTCAGCAATACTCTCAAGCGTACCTATCACATCCTGATCCCGGCTCTTCGAAGCACGGCTCATATCCCATGCCTTGTGTATGATTTTCTTTTCCGGGGGAAGGAATTGGTTGAGGTAGTTTATGGCGGTTGTGAACTCGTGGAGGAGCTTCGATTCTCGAGGAGTTCTCTCTCGAGCTTTGACGAGGTTGAGCACGTAGACTGGTGCACCATATCTCTCGAATAGGTTGTCGAAGTGTAAAGCAGCAGCGCTATAGAATGGATCGACAAGATTGAGCTCGATAGGTGGCTTCGGAGTCACCCCCGTATTGTCCTGGGTCCAGTAGAGTGGTATGCTTCCTCGATGCTGGACATATGATGTAAAATTAGGACTAGCGAAGAGCTTCGGACCCGGCGCGTGGAAAGACGTGGTCAGCATCTCAGAAACGATTTGTTCAGTTTCCACATCGTTGGCGACATAGCCCTATCAACATTAACATTTACAGTGTGAAGCACCTCGGAACCATACCAGATCGTTGGCCCCCCGCTTCAAGAACCGAGCACCGGCGAAATGTCTTGATCGCCTGGCAATGACTGTGATATACGCGGTACGACCGTAAATCGAAATAGCTATGACGGTTAGCTGAGCCAACTAAGGGACTCAAAAGTCTTACCGGACTGATCAATGTAGCCATGGATGAGAGGCATACACCAGTCATACGTCTTTTTCAGAGCAGCTACGGCCGGTTGCAAGAGATAACTGTTCCACACAAACATTGCATTGTAATCGATTTCATGGGGATATGGATTGCCCTTCGCTAACGCATCTCTCTCTGCTATTATATTTCGCTGTAGAGTACGCGTGATGTCGTAAGAAGGGCTATAGTAGAATGATCTCGTCAGATCTAGGTTGTTGAGAATGCCAATGAAACGAGCCTCCTCAGGTTTTCTAATGTCTGGCTTGAAGCGCGAGCTAGGCCCAGTTGTCAATGGAATAAGTTCCGTCTTGTCGATCGCATAGGTAAAGTGACCACCGATCATAGCCACTTGGCTCCTCTTGGTGATCACCAACATGTAGTATACTCCAGTAAAGCGAATGAAGCCGATAATTCCCCATGTGACGGTCCGTATCTTCAATCCGCCAGTACTCTTGTTCCCATCCTCGATGGCGTTCAATATCTGGTCCATTTCCTTCCGTGTATAAACAATCTCGTCCTCTGAGATGTTCAGATTTCCAGAATCGGATGTCCTGTCAATTTTCAAGATGCGAAAACGGGTTTCCATGATATCCTGCCCAACAAAGTAATAGCGTGTTGCGGTTTCGTATAGCGTAAACTTGTGCATTTTGCAGACTCCTATATCTCCAACCTTTTCATATTCTGCACCCTTGTTTCGCTTCAGATCCAAGTTCGGACTCGTGCCTCGTTGGAAAGGGCGTGATATGCTCTCGTCATCGCCCTCATCATCGCCTCCCAAGAAAGCTTGCCTCGACGGTCCTGAGCCGTGTGGCAGATCGATGTGCAGAGAAGGAAACTTGGGTAGTTGCTGGTCGTTGGCGTCTGGGTTCCTAAAGTCCACCGTCATCGGGGAGGTCATGGCAGACGTCGACCTCGATGCATTGTCGGTGGATACACTCGTCGTATCGAAGTGAACGTGATGGTTTGAGGTATCGATGGGCGCTGGAGAGCGCCCTCGCCGCGGAGGGTCATCCTCTTGGTCTGCCATGGTGGCTGGCACCAGAGAGAGTGCATGCAGACTCTATCTAGTCGGATCTCACGGTCGAGGGTTTTGTGGAGGATGTGGTGGATGTGGTGGTTGTTGATCTTGGTGTGGTGTTGTCGCTGTCGCTGTCGACGTCAATTCATGCAATGATGGTCAAGATAAGAACCTAGGGGTCCACCCTTGCACCCTACCAAGCACCAAGCCCAGTCATGTGACCCCTCGTCTGGTTTTCTGGTCTCGCATGTGAGAGAGGAGAGCCAGCCAGCATTCAGTTCCCCAGGGATTCTTGCTTGCCCGTGGCTGTGGCCGTGGCCGCACCCACTCCCACCGACCGAGGAACATCATGTTCCTTTTTTCCCTCCCTTCCCTCCCTTCCTTGTGCCACCAGTATATCTTCATCATGCGTTCACCCCCCTTTCTCGACTTCCGCTTCTAATGCCCATCTCGTCGCCATGTCTGATGACTCCCGTCAAATAGACAGCGCCGTCTTCAAACAGAAGGATGAGATAATCCAGAGTAAGTCAATTCCCACTCGTCCCATTGACGTAAGCACCATGCCATGAGCAAAATGCTCAAATGCCCAAATGCCCAATTCCAAATTCCAAAATCCGAAATGTTGACAACACCACCACCACCACAGACGTTCTCCGAGAAGAAGATGTACGTTTCAGACCCAAACGCTGTGCAGCCAGCAAGCACCTTCACAACATAACAATCCCTCAGACTGATGCGCAACAGCTATACACGATCCTAGGCGCACCAAGATCTGCGTCGCCGGCCGAGTTGCGACGATGTTACCTCGAACGAAGTAAAGTATGCCATCCGGACAAACCGCCCTTCCACGAATTGTCCACGAGGTGAGCCGGGTCTCCATGTACATCTATCTGACTTGAGCTCTGTCTAACAACTCCAAGCGCCTTTCAGAGACTGGGCTTCGCTTTTGATATCCTCAAGTCCCCCAGCGCAAGAAGTACCTATGACCGCGCATCGAAGCCTACCTCTTCCCAACTACCAGACAAGACAACCTTTCTCGGCGGCGAGCAGACCTTTCGCAGCGCCGTCGAGGCCATCCTGCACGAATTCATGACCGGGGACTTTGTCGTCGTTAAACGTTGTCTTGAATCACTCCATGTGCAATATCCCAATCTGGTCAGCAAAGAAGTTGTAATAAATGTCGAGAAAAGCTTTATCCGTATACGAGAGTTGGTGTTGACAACGAGAACGTACGCGCTTTTGATATATATCGAGTTAGGTAGAATAAACCGGGTCCAGAAACGACTGATGGGGTTGGGATATTTCGATGTCGTTGGACGAACACGACTAACGATCCACTTGGTCCGAGTTACACTTGCGGTACCGATGAGAGTCGATCGGGCCTTGAAACAAAGAGAAGAAAAAGCGTGGAGAGCAAAAGTTGCTGGCCTACAAGCGCGGGGCATAACGCCTACAGAGACTATGGGAAGAGCTGGTATCTTAAACGACAGGATCAGCAAAGTCTTGGAATTCATCGTCGGTGCTGCTGGTAAAGACGAGAGCGCCGACGAAGCGTGGAGTTCAAGTCATGGAAAAGCTTCGTGAGATGATTAGTCCTTTGGAGTTAAGGCAAAATTAGCAGTGTCCGGGTCTCGGCGTATGGAGTTCAAGTCTGAACGGTCCAAGGCGTATGGATTTCCCTCAACGAGAACGATATAAACCCTGTCTTGTTCTATTCCTTGACATCAGAATACCCACTTGTTTTTACAGAATGAATCAAGACATCATGTTTTCGTTTCAGTATGTCCAGGCATGGGTTTTACATGAACTGGGAAGGTCTTTACTTTGAACATAGTTTGGATTTTTACGATTACTTGAATTTACGACATTTCATTTGTTTACGACCCGTCACAGATTCTATACAAATTCGTTCGCTTCTATGTCATTTATATCGTACAAGATTACAATGCAATGTTACAGAATCAAAGCCAGCGCTATCCCACCAGCAAACATCGACGCCACACTGACAATGCTCGCTAGAGAAAATGTCGACATTCCACTAATCCCGTGTCCAGAAGTACAGCCCCTAGCAATCCTCGCACCCAAGACCATCGCTACGCCGCCTGTAATGGCAGTCAGGTCCCTAATAGAAGCACCTCCTCCCGGAATATCTGCCAATCCTACCAATCGACTCAGTACAAAGCTCCCTGAAAAGACACCGATTACGAAGGTAATCGATTCAGTGGCCGGAAATGCTCCGGCTCCTACCAACCATCTCGCGATGGATCCAATCTGCTCATACCCACTCGATACACCCACCGTGTCTGGCGTCAACGCCCAACACACAACCTGGGCACCTCCAATCGCCAAGCCGCCCATAACGGGCTTCAACAACACACCGTCCGTCCTTGGACTCAGCATGCCCGCTACCGCAACGGCGATTAGCAGCATAGCTTCATACACCACAAACACACTCCCTTCGGATACCCCCAGCTTCTCGTAAAGCGTCAGAGTTGGAACGTCATCTTTGCTTTTGGGCGCGAGACGGGCGGGACGTATGCTACTCTCGAGAAAAGCGTATAGCGTTCCACCGACGAGGCCTCCCAGCAGAGCAAAATATCCCGACCGTAGTCCCGTCGCAACCTGCACCAGGACCGTGCCGGGACACGCCCCTGTGAGGGTCATGCCCGCGCCGAGCACCAGGCCCCCGATTACGTTCCCGTCATACTGGAAGAGCCCAAGCGGCGACGGCGGGCAAGGCAAACTCAGAGCGAGATTGACTCTCCGGGCGAGGAAGATGGCGATTCTGACGAGTTTTTCTTTGATTTAGCTTTTTTTTTGTTTTTTTTTTTGTTTTTCCCCCTTTGTTTTTGGGAGACGGTAAGGGGGGGGGAGGCGGGGGGGGGGCTTTAACTTTTCGGGTGGCTTAGGAGAGAAAAAAGGGGACGAACGTGGTGGTCCCGCTTGCGGCGAGGAAGACTTGAAGCATGTGGAAATTTGACAGATGCATCTGCGAGATGATGATGCTGGGTGAGTAGACGCCCGAGGCCGTCAGGGCCGAGCCGAATACGGCTCCTGCAGTCAGGGACGCTGCCATGCCTTTCTCGGATCGCGAATGCACGTTTCTCGATTATGATTGAGAGATGCAGGGGGGAGGAGGCAGTCCCCAGGAGAGAGAGGAGAGAGGACAGGCAGCAAGGACGATTCACACTTTTCGTTTCGTGCTTTGCAGGAATAGAGTTAGAAGGGCGGGAAATGGATGGATGGCTGGGGGATGTCAACCTTTCGGAGGGTATTTAGACACTTCGACTAAGTAAGATTTACGTAGCAGTTACTACTAGTAGTAGGAGTACTTCGAGTCAACAACCGGGGCTTGTCTGCTTTGGCTTTCCCGCTGCTTCGGGCTCCATCCTCTTGTTTTGCCTTTTGCTTTGGTTTTACCCTTTTCCCCCCTCTACGTACAGGCGGGGGCACTCTCTCGCTTCCCCGCCCCTCCACACGATTTCGCCGCGCATCCCGAGTCAGGTGTGTCGTCGCCGACTGCATGCACACATAGTATGTTTATATACTACGTATTAGTATGTATATATATAAACATGCATGTGCATACATGAATGCATACTCTCTGCCTTGCGCAGAACCACTTGCACCCTCTAACTAAATCTCCCATTTGTTTCTTGCTGTGCTGTGCTCGCTCGGGAAGTTCGAGTTGTGTTTCATGATTCGAACGAGGATACCATGCAATGCCATGCCACGTCGAGGTCGAAGTCGAGGTCGCCGACTGATGGGGATCCAGCGGGCCGAGGGCGAGCGTGGGTGGAGCCCGAAACTTTAAATCATAACTTCACCGCACATGGATCGCAAGTTGGAAGTTCCGTACTGGCTTGGTGGCTCGGTGACTCGGTGCTTAAATGGAGTGGATACGTAGTATATGTACCTAGCGTGGATGACGCGCGGATATTGCCATGGATGGCGTGAGATGGAAAGAAAGAAAGGGAGAAAGAAAGAAAGGGTGTTGTTGCACCATTGCGCTTCTGGGCTATAGTAGGGTGTCGTATCTTATTTCAACAATATACACAATCAAATGATGTACATATGTGTGTGTCAAAGGTGTTCGTACAAAGAGCTCTTTTTCGTACTGAAGACTTTAAGAGCGATGAAGGGGTGGAATGACTGAATGAATGAATGAATGAATGAATGAATGAATGAATAAAGTGCCTCGATGGATGATTATATGAGGAGGGTATTTGTTTTTGAAAGGGCGAAGCGAGTTCTGCGTATGTTTATTTTTGATTTATTTATGTGTGATTTAACGCCATATTGGATACAAGAGAGTGGGCATACGGAACTTGTTCTCATTAGGAATGAGTTTAAGACTCGTGTCATCTGCTATCAAGTCGGAGCCTGTTGTTTGTCTATATGAGTCGACATCGTAGCCCTTCGGCGGGAAAAATCGAGAACCATTGCAAGATACCGGAGGGGATCAAAGATCATACCCAAAAGAAGCCGGTCCGGGATCAACCCCATATATACAACTATATACTATATACAAGTGTAAACCTGTTCCGAAATTTACTGAATCCTACGATCCACTTCTACCTCAAGCCGGTCTACTCGTCCCAAATCACGGTATTAACTTCTCCCTCCACCGGCACACTCGCTACAAACTTCCCAAACTTCCCACTCGCTACGTCTCTCTCCATGACCACCACCATCCCGTCTCTCTGCAGTCCCACCGCAGCCAAAGTACCCGCCTTGTTCAAGGAGAACTGCCTTGGGAATTTACCACCCGCCGGCGCGAGCTGCACGAAGGTTAACGTTCCCGTGGCGTCATCGATGGCCCAGCTTTGCAGGGTATCAGAGGCGATGAGCTCGCTAGTGCTGCCGGGCTCAAAGCTGGGGATTTGGAAGAGGCTGTCGTTGCGCGAGGAGGTCATGAGGAATCGGTTGTCGGGCTGCCAGAGTTCTGTCTGTCAGTCCATGCCCGAATGCCGGGTGCTTAAGTTGACTCAGGGGAGGGGAGATATTATGCAACTTACGCTCAAAAGAACTTCTGCGCCTGCTGCACCTGCGGGTGTTGTGGTTGGCCCGTAAGTCCCAGCCATGAACACTTCCTCGAATGCCAGGTGTGCGCCTTGATACGTGACCTTGTAACTAGCGATGCTGTTTGAGAGCTCGTAGATGACGAAGAGATAGGTGTTTCCGCACGCTGCTTTCATGAAAGCGCCGTGGCGGGGTCCAGACCCGGGGGGAGTGACTAAAGGTGTCGTTTCTGTGAGGGCGCTGGTAGATTTTTCGATGCTGAAGACTCGGACGAGATCAGAACCCAGGTCGGGGACGAGGATGAAGCTATCGGTAGGGTCGACGATCGTTTGATGTGGGTGAGGCGCTTCTTGGCGCTCGGTGTTGGGTCCCAGTGGACCTGTGAAAGTCAAGTTTTGGAGAGGTACCAGAGTCCCATTGGAGCGAATAGTCCAGCTTGTTGTTGCTGAGCCTCCACTGTCTCTTGTCAGTGCCAAGGTCATAATAGATCTCGAGTAAACAAACTTACTAGTGTGCCACAGCCAGCCCTTTTCCTCCATTATACACAATGGAGCTGACAGGACCACTGAGCGTCGAACCACGACCCATGAGAGTGAGCTCCCCAGATTCAGACGTCGAGTAAGAAGACACGTAACTCGAACCGGAAAACCCTTCATCTGTCGAATATAAAACGTCATCTTTCTTCTCCAACCATGAAGGGCTCGTTCCCGCCTCGGTCACAACCGAAGTTGTGTTTAATACATATTCTCCGCTGGCCTCCAAACTTAGCGAAAGACTCGATATTTTCCCCGAATAAGAAGAAGCATAGAGATTGACTGCAGCGACAGCGGGCGTCACGAGGGCGCCTAATGCAAGAAATGTCACGAGAGTTAAACGCATATTGGTGGGGTAAGGAATGAGTAGTTGCAGATATATCAAGATTTCGAGACGAACGAACCAGCTTGAGATTCCAAACAAAAGCGAGAGGGGGGCAGGTAAGTACTTAACTGGATAGGGCAGGATCTTAAGGAGAGGTTGCATTTTCACTATTGTGGGGAAATTTTGATCACGAGGAGAAACCGGAGGCCGCTAAGCTTATGTATGCCCGGGCCATTCCCCCACTGAATGGTTGACGAGGTACGTTTCGGACCACATTCATATTGGATATGGAGGGATGTATGGGTGAAGTCGTAAGTACTAGTATCATCGTCAGCCCCCGCGCATATACGACAATGCAATTCTCTCCCCCCCCCCACTAAATAAATATAATACTGGGTCTTTTATGGGCCGATTACAGGGGGCACAGCAGGGGAAAACGTAGTAGCACGGGGTAATGGTGGAGTATACATGGGTTTTAAGCCAATCGGTATAAAGGCTACTTCACCTTACTTACGTACGAGTGCAGAGTATACCCTTTCTTTCTGCTCAAAATTCCTATGTATTCGACCCGTTTTTAATCTAGATCAGTTATTGAATTCACCGATACCTAAACAAAAGGGCTCATTTACGACTTTTGCTCTCTAAACACCAAAAAAATGACGTATACGCTCGAGAGAAACCACTCTGTTCAGAAGAGATATCTTCTATCTGTTTATAACGCTCAATCGATCTCTTTTAAAAGACTACGAGAAATCATATCGGAGGTTTAAGACGCTATTCTTGATAGCTATATCGAATCTTTATACGAATCGTAGTAGAGGAGTTGTCAAGCTGTAATCGATGTCCAACGAGGGCCAACCCCATACTACTTAGATAGAATCTTAATCGATTGATGTTTTCTTTATTCCGATTGGCTGCATAGCGGAGATCCCATGCTACCCCGCCTGTCCACGGTTTGAGGAACATTATTGAGAGGAGTCTGGCTATTAGGGACGAAGTTGGCTCAAAATCTTGGATTAGGCATGAGATGAATGAATCAATAAGTGACGGAATAAAATAAATGAATCAATGAATCAATGAATGCATTCATGCATTCATGCATGAATGCCGTTGATAGTAAACAAAGCTTCGCTTCGCTTACGGAGGTGCCGGGGGTAAATTATGGCAGACCGCCGTCGGCAAAATCATCGGCAGAATCATCGGCAGAAAAAGCAAGAGTGGCTCTCCCATCATTTAATTTACTATTATAACACACTTAATGTTCACTGAACTTCCCTATCGAACTCGTCATAAGATCAGCAATATTCAGTATTGTTATCTTGAATTTAGCGTATTCCTTATATAAATTTGTAGACGCGATTGATGCTGTGGGAACTCTTGTCGCTGAAGGCGGTCTGCCATAATTTACCCCCGGCCACCTACGTAGCTTCACTTCTACTTACCAATTCAAGATAAAGAGAGACCACCGTATGTATGATCTCGTCATCGCCCCACTTTTTTTCACGTGGCTGTTGACTGTTCAGTTGGCTCTCCAGACCTTCAGAAGCTTCAGAATCTTCAGAATCAGAACAACAGATGAAAGCCACTCAAAAATGACGAAAATCTTTATGTAAGCCCAACTGATATCAAAGCCTCATGTCAGTCGATTGGAAACTAATGATCTCTTCTCTCCTCGAATTGATATAGCACAGGAACAACAGGCTACATCGGAGGCGACATCCTCTACGCCCTCGAGAAAGCCCACCCAGAATATGAAATCACTGCCCTCGTGCGGAACAGTGATAGCGGCGCGAAGGTCGCTGCTGCGTATCCCAGCGTCCGGTTTGTCTACGGTAACTTAGAGAGCTCGGAGCTGCTTGAAGAGGAATGTGCCAAAGCTGATCTCGTGATCCGTGAGTCTCCCAAGGCCGGTATCCTGTTGATGATGATTCGGGCACACTCTCTAAAGCGATCGAATAGACACCGCCGATGCATCGGATCACCCTGGTGCCGCCAAAGCGATCGCAAAGGGTCTTGCTGCCGGTCATTCAAAAGAGCACCCAGGTTTCTGGCTTCATACCTCAGGAGCCGGTATCCTAACCTGGAAAGACGCCGACTCCCACACTTCCGGCGAACCCCCTTCTCAGCAGCCTTACGATGATCTTGATAGAGTAGCCGATCTCACGGGTCTCCCGGATACTGCCTTTCACCGGGATGTCGACAAGATCGTCCTGGCAGCGGCATCAGACGCCGTCAAAACTGCCATCATCTGCCCGCCAACTATCTATGGCCCTGGGCGTGGTCCAGGAAACAAGAAGAGTAGACAGGTGTATCTCTTGGCGAAGGTCACCCTCGAGCAGGGGCAAGCTCCTCAGCTAGGCAAGGGGTTGACCGAGTGGGACAATGTCCATATTCACGACCTCGCTGATTTGTTTGTACTTCTCGTTGAAGCTGCTGCCGCAAAAAAGCCCGAGTTGGACGTACATCTTTGGGGCAGGGAAGGCTACTTCCTTGCAGAGAATGGACACCATGTCTGGGGAGAAGTGAGCAAGCAAGTCGGTGAGTATGCATTTAAGCAGGGCTATATCAAGGAGAAAAGCGTGAAGCCTATGAGCCCCGAGGAGGCGAAAAAGGTCGCTGGGCTTGAGGGTGCTTCTTGGGGGCTTAATTCCAAGGGGTTCGCAAAGAGAGCGAGGAAGTATTTGGGTTGGAGTCCGAAGGGCAAGAGTTTGGAGGAGATTATTCCTGACATTGTGGACGCGGAAGCTGAGCTTCAGGGGATCAAGAAGAGGCATGCTGAGGAGGTTTCGGGGGCAAAATAGTAGATAATACGCCGATTGCTCGGAAGTGTTGTATGTAGCCTGTTTGTTGAAGGCTCTCAACATTAGCGTTCGCATTGCTTCTGCGACCTCCCCGAAACTTCACATCTACAAGTAAATGGATCAGCGTACAAGGTAGAAGTCTTCTGCAGACATGAGATTTCAAAGGATTCGGGACCACAGAGTATCTCGAGAAAGCATTAAGGACGGCATACATCTTCAATAAAGACATACATATTTACACAGATTCAACAATGGAATCCCCTGCCCTCTCAGTCAGGCCACTGTGCAGAACCCTGTGGTAACTCACCCTTTGCCAGTGGTTTCACAGAAACATCTCGGTGTCATCGGAAACGGCGAAACCCTATACCATTGAAAAGAAAAGTTCCTGGCCAACACAAGTAACATGGGCACGATACAGATCCTGGATTTTATAGAGCTTTGGGGGTCACGTATGGGTTATAAAGGTGGCTTTCTCCGGTATGTTGTCCTCTGCAAAACCACAGCCGTTGAGTGTGACCCGTTGAGTAGACCTGCGTCCACAAATGTATACCCAATTCCATCCGTTTCCACTGTTGATCGTTGATCCGTCATTTCAACGTTGCCAGATCGTCCTCCCTCCTCCCTAGCTATCCGAGCAATAACCTTCAAGGGACTTGCCCTATAAAAACATAATGTCTACCGCTTCTGGCTCAATGGTCATCAGAGGAGTAGAGTTTCGTTTTCATACTGCATACACCCACCTATACACCCATCCTCACTCAGCACAGAAAATCGTATGACAAAACCCGTCAGGTTCGAGGAATGCACCTACTGTCTTTTTAAATTGCGAGATTTTTGGCCAAAAAAAAAGAAGAGCAAAACTCAACTGGAAGCTCATATCGTCGGATAGGGGATGACGATATGAGGTTCCAGTCTATAAACCTAATTGAATAGGTTTTTCCGATATTGCAAGGTCTCACGCGAATCTACACCAACTGGACAGAAACCTGGGGGGTTTGAGCTCAGCGCTTAACCGCTGAGCCATCGCCCCAAGTTCCGCCAGTTGATGGAAGACGGTTCTGGAATCGATTTATCTCACCTAAAAATTTTTTTTTTTTTTTTTTTTGGACGGGAGGCGAGAAAAGCCCAGAGGAGGGGAGATGAAGGACCCGGGAAAGAGATCAGGCCTCGAAAGAGATGACCGGCCTCTCCTACTCCCCCCGAACAATGAAATCGCTCGCAGTCCATAGATCTCTCAGTGCCGAGGAAGGTGGAATGCCAATCTCCGATCTTGGTGGAACAGCTTCCCGGTCCTTGGTCATACCATCAAAGGACTCCGAGGGGGATGTTATTCATAGAACACCACCTCGCAGCGGCGAGACATCTCGCAAGTCCAACAACGGGAAAGCTACTGGTCATGAGATGGAGGCTCTCGACCAGAAATAGTCTAGGTGACGAGGGGTGGAATAATGCGTCGAGAGCAATGCGAACAGCAACCTGGGTAGCTAGCTGTCTTCTACCTCATCACTACTAATATCCTTGGCCCATTTGTAGTACGCCCGCTATATATCCTAATATCATCAAGCAAGCCCGAAGCAACACAAACCGCGACGCAGCCACCAAACCCCAGTCCTCCCCGGATAAAAGCCAGCAATTGTTGAATAGTGTCTCTCAGTCCTGGAAATTGTCCCCAGAAATCCAAGAAAGCAAGTAAACACGCACAAGTAAGCTGACTGACTTTGCTGAATACATACCGGTATCATATCTACCTGTAAGGTATAATAAGCCATACACCTCTCTCACAGCCACATACGACCATAGACTGAGGAGAATTGGGCATCCCGTTCGCTCTGCCATACACAAGCCTCAGATCGGCAGATTAGTAGTTGGGTGGGTGACCACCAGCGAATACCTGCTGTTGTATGTTTTTGTTTTGTGACTCTCAGGTCGTCTCCTCCGGAGCTGCTGCGCATCTCTCCACTTCGTATTTCCGAGAAAAAGGGAGGTAGAAATAAACAAAGCCTGAATACTCTTCTCTTTATTCACTCCTTCCGAATTGGATGTACCCCCGTCCCCTTCCCCTCGAAAGAACTTACTTCGTTTAATATTGCTGCTTGAACTTTTGAACTGTCGATAATGAAAAGAACAACACGTCGCAAAGTGTCATCTGTGAAGTCTTTTTCCCCTGGCATCAGCTCGCCGCCAATATCAGATTGAACCAAGCTCGGTTCTAGCAACAGCGACCTCTTTTTTGCACCCATGTATCTGTCTAGATGAAAGGATGGATGGATGGATGGATGGATGGATGAATCTCTGGCAAATATTGCTATCAAGTCAAGTGCTGGGAGGAGTCGAAGCTGGAACGACCTGCTGTAGTCGGCACCGCTATATATGTGCTGCGGTTGCAGGAGAATGAGCTCAGGGTATCGGGCTGTCATTAGTGGCACTTACTTACGTGGGCTTGTCCTACTCTTATTTCCGTACGGCGGCAGTATCAAGTTAACGGGATGGAATGATGGTGTAATGCAGCGGCGCTGTGTCCATGTAAGAAAATACCGATTCGGAAAACATTTCTAAGTCTCGGATGTGGTGACATGAGCAAAACCTGAGCCTACTACCAGAGCAGGTCCTGCCAGTTGCGGCTTAGGATTTGTGCTCTTTTCTGTTCGAGTCGCCCACCTTGAGAACTTATTTGGCTGGGAAAATGGCGTTCTGGGGTAAGAAAAATATGCCTTGGATCGAAAAGTAACTCCATATTCAAATGCAACCGCTACCGGTCTTCTAATTCCACGCCTTCGTCAATATCCCTATCCTCCTCCGTCCCATCCATCACATACGACGGGCCACTGGGCGGCGACCTCGCTAAATCTACCGAGCCCCCTATCCTGATTCTTCCTCTCGACACATAGTTCACCTGATCCGACACCCAGATCGCTCCTTTCTTTAACACACCCCAAAGCTTTTCCTGGCTTTCGACCAGATGTCTATCATCTCTCGGGTTCTCGCTCGCCTCAACTTTAAACTGGTATTTCAAGCAGTCTTTAACTGTCACGAGACCAGCGAGCTTGCCGTGGTATTCGATGAGGATGACTCGAGGGCCAATCTTGCGGAAAACCTCCATTACTGTCTCGAGCGGTAGGCGTGGGTGGACGGTGACGGGCGTTGGGTCTATGAAGCGGCTGAAGTCGACAGACGAGGATGCCATTGCGTCAAAATTCGTAGGCGGGGGGCCTGAGACTGCCGAAGTTACAGGTGTATAGGAATCCCCAGATGATGGTACGCTGAAATAGCATTTCGCCATTGGACTGATCGAACGGTCTCTCTTGACGCGGTCAATCGCATAACGCAATTCGGTTCGTCCGATGTACCCTACAAGTATCTTTGATGCCCCGTCTTCCACGATAGGGAAGCCTTGATACTTGTCTTCGCGAAGAAGTTTTTCGAGGTTCTTCATGCCGAGACCTGTAGTGGGCAAGGCAATGACATCGCTGGTCATGACCTGCGATACGGGGACACCAAAGGTGTGGTCTTCTTTGTTGTCTAGGAATGGGAAGCCACTAAAATAGATCATCCTGTCGGCAACCCCCCCTTTTCCAAACATTTCGCTGACTGCTTTGGTAACGCCCACTACAACCATCGTGGGCAAGATGTAGGTCAGGGCTCCAGTGAGCTCAAACATGATGACTACCACTGATACAGTGATGTGCATGATACCGCTCAGAGCTGACGCTGCTCCAAGAAAGGCGTATGTTCCTGGTGTAATGCAGGGAACGTCCGGTTCGCAAGCTGAGAAAAGTACAGATGTCGGATAAGCTTCGTGTAGTGCCTGCACCAATATTCCGATTGTTCTCCCGAATGACGCCCCGATAGCCATAGAAGGTACAAAGATACCGGCCGGAACCTTACACCCGTAAGATATGATGACTAGGAAGATCCGCAGGATCGTAGCTATCGTGAGAGAAGCGACCATGCGCCATCTGTTCTCTCTATCGCAAAGCCCATTGTAATCTTCAGCCCCCTCACACTCCAAGAAGAGGATCTCCATACTCTCTGTCATATCAATCCGGAGGAACATGTTTGGGTAACAAATTATGGCGGTCATGGTCGCCAGAAGCGTTGCTTCCAGGATAGCGTATTTGGTGAGATACTTCTTTCGAAAAGCCTGCGCCCTCAAGTTCCACTTGATAACGAATGCACCGTACACACCTCCAAAGATTCCAATGATAATGTAGAATACAACCTCAAAAAAGTGCCACGACCGATCGTAGTGGACTTGGAACATGACAAGCTGACCCGTTCTGAAGGGATTCATAGCTGACAACACAGCCGTAGCGACTAGGGCGCAGAAATAACTCCTCCACATAGTCTTTAAAGGGAAGTAAGATGACATCTCCTCGAGCGAGAATAATACACCTCCGATGGGACTTCCGAAAGCTACAGCGACACCGGCAGCGGCACAGGCACTGAGAATCTCCCGCGTTTTTGACGCATTCCTCTTATACTTCTCGAATAGCCTGGATATAACGTTGCCGGTACAGACAGCGTAATGCACACTTGGCCCTTCTTTACCAACCGAAAGACCAGAGGCAATAGCAAGAGGCAGTGCAACCGATTTTATGACCAATGTCCAGAATCCGAGAAACCCTTTCATGACGAATCCGGCTATGATGCATTTGATCTCAGAAATTCCTGACCCTGCAGCATACGGCGCGAATGATCTGACCAAGCTCGCTGACGTTAGAGCAAACATAGTCTGTAAATGTCAGCATGTCCAAGCGATCGTAGAAATAGGGAAAATATACAGCAAACATAATATAAAGAACATAGTTGACAGGGGCCAAAGAGCTCCATCTTTGCCAATCATCACATCCTATCAATCGTCAGCCAGAACCTCCCGCCCAAAGGCGACCCTACCATTATCTTCCCCCCAACAGCAAAAGCTCTCGTTCAAGTAGAAACCCGTCTTGCAATACCCCAGCTTCACATCCGAAAGCCATTCCGTAATAATGTTGAGAAACGCCGCATTCATTCCAATAGCCGCACCTGTCACTATCAGCGCTGCAGTCTTCTGGGACCAGAACTTGTATACCGATCAGAGTGACCACTATCCACCCTTGCGCCGCTTCATATGATTCCCCAAGCTTGTATCGCCATCCCGCATGTCCTCCTCTCTCGAAGAATCCAGCTGTCTCTTTCCTGCGGATTTTGCGCCGTAGTTGCTCCTTCGCTGCGTCTTGAACCCAGTCTGGGGGCACAATGTCAGCCTGCTGAATCGCTGCCGCAATGGGCCACAAGTACCTATTGTCGTAAAATCCTAGCTATATATTAGCAAAAATATTCACTGCCACACCGTACGGTGTCCCCTCGTACCTCATATCTCTTAATCTTCTCTATCTCCTCATCAATCTGGTGTTCCGCATTCGTCGGCGCTACCGCAGCCTCGCCGTGCTCCGCGTTTGATATCGCAACCGAGAGCCTCGACGTGACACTCGGGCGATGCTGCTTGCGGCGAGCAGGCAGGGAGATGAAAGAGGATCGTGAGTTCATGGCCTCTGTCGGCGCAGGTTCATTCTGCTGGACTGGAGGACAATGCTGAGTTCATCTGGCCGCGATGATGGATGGCTGAATGTCGATTGACAAGCGGCCGCTAGCGTGAACCGTCTGATACTTGGTACCTTAGGTAGTTCTTCAACAAAGCGTCTTATCCTTTTCGTCTGAAACACAACTTCGGGACAATTTATTGTAAAGCGCTGGATATTTAAAGGAAAGATAATCCGATATACATTATCGCGTCACATAAAGGGTTTGTGTTTCTAACATCGGCTCGATATGCAGAACTCAGTACAAATATCTCTCTTGATTAGTTTTTCATGGACGCCTACTAGCATTCAAACGGGTAGCTCATCCATTGTTCACTAGAGCTCATCTATAGTTCGCGTAAATCTCCACCTTTATTAAGAACCCCCCCAATTTTACTACAAGCACACCACCCCCGAGTTTTCAACAATTTGTTGTTATTATGGTAGATTATGGTTGTTGTAGTTGTTATAGTTTTATAGCTGAAAAGGTAGAAAGAAAATAGAAGAAAAGCTATACAAGTATTAGTAAAGAAAATTGAGGCTTAATCACGTGTCGCTTAGAATTGTATCATGAACACAATTTAAAGGTGAATGAACTGCTTGTTTTTCGTGTAGCAATCGTATTATTTAATTAATTATTACTTTAACGGATTCAGTTGATTAGATTAGTAGTTGTAGTAATTGAATATGTATTGCATATGAGTGTATCGATAATAATAAAAAGTTAAAGTTTAGATTTAAAAATTTACGCGAACTATGGATGGGTTCTAGTGTACAATGGATGAGGTTGTTCCTGTTCGTAAACTGTCCCCCTCAGGCGACCTCGAATCTCTCTCCAGACAATTAAAACGCAACACTTTCTACCCCCGTGGCTATGCCCGTATTAATATACTACATTCAGCTTCCACCCAACTTTCAGTACTCTGACAGCGATGAGAAAAACTCCGGCAGCAGCATAGGACAGCGCAGTAAAAATGATAAGCACTGTGTAGTCGCCGTTCATCACCGCGAGCAACTGTCCCGCGATTGGTAGCGCAGTGAGGGTACCAAAAGCAACAAACATCCAGCAGGTTGCGTAATAACGGCCATAGTTCTCAGTCTTGCAGAGCTGGCCCACACAGACAGGGCTGAGACTGAGGTTGCTTCCGCTTACGAACCCGAAGATGATCGCGAAGACGATGACCATGGGAGTTGAGCCGCCCGCTGGGAGCCATAAGGCTAGACAGGTGACCACACACATGAGAACACTGAGAATCATTGTGTTTAGCTTTCCGACCACGTCGGCAATGACCCCAGCGAAGAAACGCCCAAAGAATGACCCGCCGTTCAAAATAGCGATAATATGGAAAGAGAACGCGGAGCTGTGCCCGTGTGATGCAGAATGGGATGTGATGTACGTCATTGGAACGAAGATACCCCATTCCATCAAGAAGATCCCGACAGATGTGAATGCGAACGGCACATCAAGGAACAAACTGAATTGAGGTGCAAGACTCTTGAAGCTAGCCATTGGCTTGCGAGGTAGCCGACTCCGCACCAGAAAATTGGCTATGATGAGCAGGAAGGTAAGGATAAATCCAAGGATCCGAGTTGCCCAAGCGAAGCCAACTTTTGGGAATAGGTCTTCTAGCATCAAAGGGAAGATGATGCCACCAATGGATCCCGATGTCATTGCAATCCCGGTGGCATTACCACGTTTCTTGAGAAAGAAGTGTCCGATTGAAGCAATACAGGGTGTATTGATGAGACACCCGCCAATGCCATTGAGGACACTGTAGACCATTATAAAATGCCAATATTCTAGTCGTTGTTAGCGATATGTGTAAACGAACGTCATGGGATACTAACGAGTGCAAATGCCCAATAGAAACATTGAAGCTACCAGGAGGATACTTCCACAGAGGATCAAGGCTCGAGGTCCGTAGGAATCGAAGATAGGTCCGATTGGAGCACCACAGAAGAATGTCAAGAACAGACCAAGTCCGAAGATCCAACCAATCTGACTCGGGCTGTTGTCTTTCAATTGATGAGTGCTGAAGTAGTCGTGTAATACAGCAGTGCTGTTTATGATTCCGAAGACCGAAAAGGAACCACAGAAAGCGCCTAGGACGACTAGCCACCTATTTGTGAACGTCAGAGTTGATGCACAAAAATAAGCGAAACGCATAGCGACCGGGCATAAGATTCGAGTCCCCTTTGTAAATGAGAAGTTTTCTAATAGGAAATTCACTGACCCTCTGAGACCACCCTCGGGGAAATCATCCTCTTCTTCGCTCTTCTGTGACGATACATCGGCTTTTGGAGCAACGTTTTGGCCTTTCCCGTTGGGCGATGGGTTTGGTTGTGCCTCAACTACAGGCCGTTTTGTACTTGGCAGAGCACCATCGTTCACTCCCGCCTTTTCGACATCGTGGAATTGTGGACTGCAAGGGTGGGATGCATTTTGAGAAGAATGGAGTTTTTTCAAGCTGCTGACCTCAGCTAAAGATCGACCTCCTGATTGCATATATACACCCAAAAATGGATTGACGTGTTCACGCAGTGCTATTGTGCGCCAAGAGAAAGCGATGTCGATTTTTCACGGTGAGGAAAAAAAGAAAATATTTCGAGCGGTCAATAAGTACTTGTCTCCACTGCCGAAGCCTAGCTCCGATGGCCTCACACGTGATCTGGGACATCCGTGACCGTACAATTAATCTACGAAGGCCATTCCTGATCGATAGTCAGGAGCAAGATACACTTAAAGATACGGCGATGATCGATGGAGAAGAGGGGGGACAAAGGAGGGAGGTCTCGCTTACTGGGAGTTCTAAGCGAGATGGATCCTTTAAACTCTTTCTCTATACCGGTACTCGAGCGGCGAGTTCCTTTCAAATATCGAATCGGCATGAATGACATAGAACTCATATCAGCGTCATGGACGATACTTGTTTGTTACTGCTTTGGGCTTGCTTCTCTGCTTTTCCATCTCCAGAAACCGCACCACCTTTAAGAGAGAGGGAGAGAGAGAGAGAGAGAGAGAGAGAGAGAGAGAGATAGAAGAGAGAGAGAGAGAGAGAAG